AGGGTTTTGCTCAAACATTATTCAGCTTTTGCACAAAAAGAAAATGTATGGTCCAACAATATTAACCCTAAACCGCCTGTAAAGTCTGTAAAAATGCTTGTGTATAATAATACATTTTCAGAATGCAAGTATTTTGCTATTTGTACATATCTTGATATGTGTAGAGTTTACATTTGATTTTTACATCTAGTGTTTCTTTATGTTTCAAGAACTTACGGTAAATGTATTTGCTAAACGTTTCCTAACTAGAAGTTAGACGAAAACTTTTTTTTATTTATAATTCCAGGTGTTTTATTTATAATTCCAGTGTCTGCTAAAAAAAGCTTCTCCCGATTACAATTCCGTGAATAGAATGTATCAAAAATATATGAGAAATTAAAAATAAAACGTTTCACAGAACAACAGCTGCAGAGTCTTGCAGCGAGTTTTGGAATCATCACGCTGTAATCTGACCAGAATGAACCTGTCTCGGGCCTTACCGTATTCCTCACCTCGATAAACTTCCAGCCTTTTGTTTCATCTTATCACTACCTGCCAGCAAACGAGAGTCAATGGTAGCCATGAATCATCTCCAGTCATCTCCTTTTCTAAAGCTTGTGGGCTGAAAGGAAGAGAAACGTTTCCTACATGCCGTAAGAAACAAACAAACACCACAGGCATGTACGTTGAGATGATCATCAAGAGTGGAATTTTTACTAATTCTGACAAGTAATTTCACAAAATGAGTAATGAAACAGAAAAAAACAAGTGGGACTTGGGCAAAGCTGCCAAGAAGGCTTTGTTTACAAAAAGGTTATCATCCCGCACTGTTCGAAAATATAACTACTACAAAGGATCGAATAGAGCCCAAGGACTATTGATTGCCCTTCTGTGATTGACAGCATTGTCCCCCCCCAAAAAACAAGAACAAAATAATTTTTTATAAACTTTCCAAACAATTAAATGATTATAAAAATTGTCAGTGAGTTTAACCCATGTGGTATATAGATTATGCATTAAAATGGGTGCACATCAATAAACCATATGTTCCTAAATTTCCTGCAAATTTGCTACAAAGCTCAGGCTTTATGCAAGATTATGGGGCAAATCAAAAAATATCATTTTTTTTAAACTGATGATAGAAAAAAACCCAGCAAAACAAGTACTAATCTATCTTACACATTGCTCGTGTAGGGATGCCTGAAGCCCGTTTTCACCCCCCTGATGCAAATATTTTTTCACTGTATACTTTGATACACATATTTTTCACTGTCATTTTATAATTAGCATAATTTAGCATAATTCCTACATTTATTTGTACTTGCAGTTCTTCATACTGAGGCTATGCTTGCTACTAGCTGACATATCTTACGGACACTAAAATACACCTGAATATAAGAAACTCCCATATATTTTAGCGAAAAATAAATAAAACAAGTTGAATGTATTACCCCCTTTAGAGTCACTTATCACTCGTTAGTGTCTCTTACCCCCTTGTGTCTCCTACCCCTTTGTGTCTCTTATCCTCCCATGTATCTTTAACCAGTGCTCCTCAACCCTCTCCTCAAGACACACCTAACAGTCCAGGATTTGGGGATTACTCAGGCGTGTATAAGGTGTTTAAAAAAATTAAAACATCTTAGACTCTAAGGTGCTTTTTTTCCCCTTTTTCTAAACACCTTAGACACACACGGGTAATCCCTAAATCCTGGACTGTTAGATGTTCCCTGAGGAGAGGGTTGAGGAGCAGTGTCTTGAACCTCTTGTTCTGTAACAACCCCGTTGTGTCTCTTACATCCACCTTGTGTCTTGTGCACCCCCATTTCCTTTACATCCCTCACTGGACAAGTATCACTTATTGTAGTGTGCTAGTGGAAGATCGTCCATACTATCTTCCTGGTCTAGCAGGAAGTTACTCATTATGTCATTGTATAAAGAAAATGCTCTACCCTAGTCCATAAGGACATGTTACACAGAGTGACTGGCAGGTGGGGTAGAGCTCTGTGCACCCAAACCCCCACCAGTCACCTGTACATTGGGCCCTCATCTCACTGGTCACCTAAATATTGCACTGGATGACAATCAGAATAAATGAAAGAGGAAATTTTTTAACCCACATTTTTTGGGTTAAAAAACAAGTCCTTTAGTCTGAAAAATACGGACAATATCCGCAAATCGCACAACCTAAATTCATATGTTAAAATAGTTTACAAATATGGTAATAATGCATTTACAATGTTGGGATTAGAAAAAGCATTAACAATGAATGCATGTAATAAGGAAAGGAATATGGGGTTGTAAGAATATTTTTCTTGTTTTTTTTCTCCTCCTATTTAAAGTATTGGAGGTGTTGAAATTTGTAACCATTGCTACAGTTTACTTGTGTCATTTTTTAACCTCTTATGTCTGTTGAATATAGTGAAGGGAAAGGTGGCGTTAGATCCGGCTTCCACTTGGATATTTGGGGCCCTGGAGCTCTTACAAAGTGGGTTTATTGATTTATACATTGTTGTATACATTTTTGTTAAAGTTGAAGCAATAAATTCAGACAAATTTATTCAAGGACAAAACAGAACATGCAGTCTGTTCTAAATACAAGTCAGTGATTCATTTTCAGAAAATAAAATGAACGCATATCATGCAACAAGATAAGAGTCTAAAAATGACAAATTAAATATTAAAATATTATTTGGCAGAAGACATAAAATTAGCACAATTGTTCTATAAATAAGGTCAGTCGCTGGAGGTCAAGCAGATACATAATGAGAGCTTAACAAATATTGAATATTAAAAATATAATATTAAAAATGCTTCTTCCTCGGTATACATATTGATAATGAAATAAGATGTATTGGACATAGAAGCTATCAATTCCTCAACTCTATCATCAGTTATACTCTTGAGACTTTGAATTATTAAGATAAAATTGATTTTCTGTATAACAAGAAAAAAAATCTATATCTAAATATTTGTAATCTACAGTCATATATAATCAAATACTCATCCATATCTGATTAATTCATTCTGCATTTATTATGCAATTGAAATGTTTTGATGAAAAAAAACTATAATTAAGAAATCTGCTTTACCTAAAATATCTTGTGTGTTTGACCTACCATAAAATGGATGTTCGATCTGCCTTAAAATTCATATTTTAACTCCACAATTGCCAGTTGAAACCCCTGTATTAAAAGTGAAACCGATAGACTAAATAAAAACTGACCTATATTTACTGCTAAAAGATACAGAAAATGTTTTTTTCCTAAAAATGAAATTCCTAAACATAAAATTCAACAATGAAACAAACAGATATAAAAGTGTTACTTGTCACTGCAAAGGTGATGCTGCATAGAGTGTCACAAGCTTATTCTCTGCTCTGGCTATGGCTTAGAGCTGCAATCAGAGAAGGCTTAAGATCCTACGGGACCTTAGTCAGGATCCTAGTTTCTGGCCAGCCCTTCCTTCTATAGGGACCGTTAAAGGGACACTATAGGCTCCCAGACCACTTCAGCTCATTGAAGTGGTCTGGGTTCAGTGTCCCAGCACCCTTAACCCTGAGCAGGTAATTATTGCAGTTTTTAATAAACTGCAATAATTACCTGCTAGGGTTAACTCCTCCTCTAGTGGCTGTCTACCTGACAACCACTAGAGAAACTTTCAGTTGGTTAGGCAACTTTTGGTTGCCTAAATGATGATGGACATCCTCACGCTGTGCATAGGGATTCCAGTGTCAATGTAATCCCCACTGGAAAGTCATTGCACATTAGGTCTCCCCCGCCAGCGTCGAGGGACTTGGGCAAATGATCCAGGTAAGTGATAGAAGGGATTTTTAACCCCTTCTGCACCACAGGGGGTGGGGACTTAACAGAGGGTGGAAGCTATAGTGCTAGGAAAATTGAAAATGCGTTTGTTTTCCTGGCACTATAGTTTCCCTTTAATGGAGCCATGCAAATTCATGGGCCCCTGTCCTCTCTGGCCACCAAGTGTCACCTTATGGTTGAACCAGCTTTGGCTGTAGTCATTGCAGTATGGCCATCTGCACTGTCAATCAAGCCCAGAACCAAAGTATACCTGCATTAATATTGTCAACATTTTGTCCATTAGTTAAACACATAACTTGAACCGAGTTCTGTTTTTTCACGAGAATACCATGGACCACTCCTGCATGGACCACACTTCTGCTGATCGTTACACATAGTCTGGTTCACTGAACAGTAAACAAAGCTGTGGACAAACTGATAGAAGCCACAGTAAAGCTGCTATCAGTTTAATGAGAAGTTCCATAATCATGAGTGGAACTGTTCTTAGGGATAAACTAATTTTCCCATAAACCTCTGCAGCTCAGAGATTTGTGTGTGATTTATATTGACAGCAACAGTATTAGAATTTTAGTAATAGTACTATTAGTACAAAAAATGTTCACTATTTGATGTTCCAGAATGGATATATGCTCATTATTTCTCTATGAAAGTGACGCTATTGTCCCCAGAACAACTACAACTTAATGCAGTTGTTCATGTGTCTACTGCCTGTCAATATGTTAGTGCTAATGAAATCACTGTGATTGTAAGCATAGCACAACTCAGGATTCAAAGTAAAAGAGCAAAACTCAGAATGTAGCCAATGGTAAGTGGGTGACAGGAAAAACATAGTAACTACAACAGTTGCAATATAAGTTTGAGGACGTCAGTGAACAAGTAATAGGACATTTTTATATCAGGTATTTGTAATAAACATTGAGTAGGTGTTGTCACTCCTCCGATTCCATGGGCTGGTGAATATGTACAGTATGTTCTGATGTAGGATTTGACTTGACCCACAAGATGACTTTTGGAAGATGCAATAAGAGTGAAGAGGAAAGCCGAATGATATC